ACCATCGTGCATGCCTAAACAAAATCGAGACTCGTCACTAAAGACAATACTGTTCCATTCCTGATCCCAGAGTGACCGTTGTCTGCACCACTCAAGGCGATTACGTCGGTGTTCTCGAGTTAAAGAGAGGACCCAGTGTGGCCGGTATGAAAACAAGCCAAAACTTCTCATTCGTCCGTAAACACTTCGCATGCCAATAGGTCTTCCGTGTTCTGCAAACCATTCATTTGCAATGAACCTGGTAGTGGAGAAACGGTCCATTAAGGCCAATAATCTTAGGCGGCGATCTTCACGGTCTGTTGGTCTACGACGGCGTCCAGTGCCCCTTGCTCTTTGCGTACGGCCTTCTCGAAGCCATGCCTGACAACACCTAACCACAGTGTCTACACTTCTTTGCACTCTAACTGCAATTGCCCGAAAAGAAAGTCCAGCTTCCCGAAGTCCCACTATACGGCCCCTATCAAACTCACTAAGTTGACGAAATCGTACAGGTCGCCGTACTCTAGGCATCGTAACCGATCGTAAAGGATGTCAAGAACCAAAATCCGCCAACGTTGATTCTTTACTGCGGCTGAAATATTCATTTTTAGAGCGTTAGTGAATTAAAAAAAAGCAGTATAAAAACCGGAATGTCCAACTGATAAGGCTGAAAATTTTTTCACTTGTTATTTACAGTAAGATAAATACATTCACCAACTTTTATTAAAGTAAAACCATTTAAACTGGGTGTTCGGATTTATATGTCACTTAGTATATATATAGCAAATCTGTCATATTTCTGTTTCCATGGCTGGTGTAGGAAAAATATGTACGAGTTATTATGTGTAATATGTGTATAGTATCACCGAGATTTTAATAATAGTTAGAAATATTACAAATGTCGTTAATGTATAAAAGAACTAGTAGTGGACCTAGTTTACTACCTTGTGGCACACCAGCAGAAATATCTTTGAGCTTGGTTCTTTGACTTCTGTCAGTTAAGTAGTTTTGTAGCATTTTGAATACTTTAAACCCATAGTGATGCAATTTTTTAAGTAATTTATCCCTGTCAATAGTTTTGAACGTCTTTTTGAGGTACAAAAACACTGTCCCTGTATGTTTCCTATTGTCCATACGTCTCCTCCGGTCCTCTAAGACCTTTTTCAGCATCTGCCAGAACATTTATTGGCCGCATATTGGTGAACAACTCAGAATTCTTAACTTTGGAAACAGGAGCTTCGGTAGAACACTTCAGTTTTGTTGGAAATTCGCCATATTGCAAACAGGATTAATATTCTTGCTCCAATAATACCAAAAAATTCAGTGGGCACTCTTTTAGACAAAATCTCACTCTTATCTTGATTTGATTTCACTTTTGATGTAATCCTGTTGAGACGATTAATGTTCATTATTTTAAACCCACTGAATGATGCATTATAATCTGATCTCATGAGACATTGGTCGTTATTCCCGTCATAATTGATCTTACAATGTCGATAATACTTTCTATGAAACAGATATTCATTCGATCTTTTCATTTGTCATTTTAGATAATGCATAGAAGAACAATGTTTTTCAATGTTATCCATATGTTTTATTGAGGAAAGTCAATCTTCTTGACACCGTTTCTCTAAGCTCGTACACACCCAAACATATTTGAAAAATGTGTCATGTATCAACATCTAATCGAAAACTTGGTGGAGTGCCACGCAAAGAAAGCGCTTTTCCCGATTACCTTCACGTCAATTGAATTGACAGGTTTAAAAATAGCGCGGTGCACAATGCGGTGTAATTGCGGTGACATATTCGCTTTGCACCAACAAAAACTGAATAGAACCCGTCGAGACCGATCTGCGGTCTGCTTCGTTCGGATTTTCGGTTAGGCCACGTGTTCCTGCTTAAAAATAATGAAACCGACTGCAATTGAATAATGCGCTTCCGGTTTCCAGTGTTTAGAAGCTACCTACGCGCCAGTCTTCGTTTTTTCTTGCCGGGCTCAAGTTCCGGTCGACGCGTTTTTCAAACGGAATCCTCTTCATTATGCGTACGGCAGAAAAAAAGTTTTAGTTCATAAAGATACTATATTAATATTACACAGTATATCACAAAATGTATTATGTCTTCAAGACTACATATTTTTATACAAAATTCACTAATATCAATTCTGGTTTTGCATGAGAGATTTTTTCAATCTCCCTTGAACATTTTAAAACTGACAAACATCTTGATATCATTACTTAACTTATTAAATTCGTACAATCCCTTTTGAAATACTGACTTGCTCGTTATACTGCTACTGCAATTTTTGTAAATGAAAGTCTATACTTCCTCTAGTAGAATAATTGTGGCACTCATTGTTCAATACAATACAATTTTCTAAGTGATTTGGTAGAAGATGATTTTTTACTTGAATATGAAAATGAAAACCAAGTAGGCTATGAAATTTTTGATATCTAACCATTGTAGTTCTTTCAGCATAAAATGTATTCTAGTACATTTATTTTTATTTAAGATGATTCTCATAGCTTTATTTTGTAATATTTGTAATTTTGAAAATACAGTTCCATTTGCAGTGAACAAAATAGTAGAACAATATAACAAATGAGGAAGAAATATTTGTACACAATTCTTTTAGAATAAACGGTTAGGCAATGCGAAATTCTATAAAAGTAATTTATTTTCTTGGATATTTTTGAAATAATATATATATATATATATATATATATAGTGCGGTTCAAATTTTAATTTACTGTCTACGTATATGCCCAAATATTTAAATGATTCGATTGACACAATTTTTTCATGATTAATTGTAAGATTTATCGTATTTTGATCTAAAGATTATTCATTAGCATATATTTTGTTTTGTTTGTGTTTAGTTTAAGTTTATTTACATTTAACCAATTTATTACGTTTTTCATATCATTATTTAACAGCTCTATTGCAGTTTCAATGTCTTTATTTGATATATATATATATATAACTTGAGACGTGGTCATTGTCGTCTAGACCAGTTACTTGAAAAAGTAAAGCTTCCGCCTTTTGTTGGGTACTTCGACAAAATTTAAGCAAAGAGAACTCTTTATACTTTTTTTAATTCTCTCTGGCTTTCAATGGACTTTGCCATCATCATCAGGAGCTGCAATCACAATCATAACAGTAGCAACAAAAGTGTAAAATGAATTTAAATTGACTCAACTTACAGTAGTATGTGAGGATGTTGCTAATTGTTGTTACGTATAGGTTGAGTTAAACGTCCAGTAACATGGTGAGAGCTGGATACATGGTACAATGGTCAAAATTATATAAAATATGACAAGACAAGTTAAAAACAGATTAAAAATTATTTAAAAAACATTAGAGCATTACGTCGTGAAGCCACTTGATGATTGCACAAATCAGTTTATTAAAGAAACGCAGATAAGCGCTGCAGGGCGGTTAAGAAAATCAAAGACGACAAAATACTGATTGCAGCGAAACAAGCTGGAATCGAAGATTACCAACAAAAAACTGGAGAAATAAAACAGACGAACTGTACATGGACGCAAAAATAAAAGATTACCACGTGTACGAAGAGTACCTGGACCAGGTCGCAGAGTACTGTTCGGATTTCACTTGAGTACAGGAAATGATAAACCGATATCTTGCTCTGCTGAGCGCAAAAAATTTCATGGCGCAGCTCCAAGAAAAAAATCTAAGATTGCTTGAAAATGCCAAAAAGCGATATGGGAAAGCTGATTGAAGAAAAGAGCTTTGTAATAATGGGCCTGAACAACCAGACAGCCAACCTACAAGCTCGATACGAAAATGCGAACATAAAATCGCTAGAAAGTGAACAACTTGTAATTCAAATCAAGAACAATGCTATCCAACGCATGAGCGAGATAGACCAAGTAAAAACTTCCATATGGAACCTCTGTACACATATGGCTCAAGGCAAAAGACAGCCTATGAAGATTAAGAAAGATAATATTGAAGAGCAAATAATGTATATAAAGAGAACTCTTACGGAATTAGCAAAAGTGAACCAAATATTGAGAAAACAGGCTAGGTTGGCTAAGCTTAAGAAAAAGTTGGTGCTGATAGTAAATATATATATATATATATATATATATATACAGGGTGACTTCGAAGTTGAGTCATTTATTTTAACATTGATCAAAAGAAATGTTTTTTCCTTTACCATTTTTCTGGTAAAATTAAAGTAACAAAGTTATAGCCCTTTGGAAGTTTGAGTACCGCCCTGTCTCAATAATAATATTATGTGCTCGTGTTTGGCAACACGGATATAATCCGCCTTATCGGTTCATCGCATCGGAAACAAAAAAGCGAAAGAATTTGGAACGATGTTTTTACAATTATTTTATTCAGTTGTATACAGTCAGTGTCAGTCGGTAACGCGTGAGTGAATAGTGGTGTCTGTTGCGTGGCTCAAACGAAATAAAAATGGCACATGTTTGTGCGGATCGGTTCCCAATCGAGTGTAACCAACCCCTCGTGCCTTTGTTAATGTAGTACAACGGGCTCGTGAATCAGGTGACTTAAGACCTCACAGGAGAGGGCATTGCCGGTGCTCCAAGACCGCACGATCAATACAGGTCCGCACTGAAATACTTGTCGGGAGGATACTTTATAAACAAGGTAACATTTTTTTTAATTTTTTTATTTTTACACACATATTTTGGTTTATCTTCCTTCTACAATCATTATCTGAAAATTAATGACTCAACTTCAAAGTCACCCTGTATATATATATATAATGTAACATATCAGGAATATCGTTAGTATATAAAATAAATAGTCACAAGTCCTATTAAAAAAATCGGATGCAGTCAGAAAAAATACGCTCATACTATAAGATAGTTGACACTCTTTTAAGTAGGTCTTTAGGAGTTAATACTTGTTGTATTATATCAAAAAAATCAATACTATATTTCTTAGAGATTTAGAAAAACTAGTTAAAAAAATTTTCATTATCCTTGACCATAAAGATCAGGTATATTTTTGTTAGGTTAATGTTGGTTTGTCCTATCGCGAATTTGGCCGCCTTATATTTTCTGTCTTTCCTGAGACCGAGTCGAGACCATACTGATGAGTTGCCAAATAGGACGAAACAAGGACTGTAAATAATACGACAAAGTGGACAACAAGATGTATTTAGAAATAACTTATTTCAAGTGGTAACATTACAAATCCTACATTAAATGATATTAACAACGTTTATGAGAAAATCAATCTACGTAATATGACTCCCAAAATGGCGCCGGGGCCACAATATGGCATGAAAAATCAACACTATGGGATAAAATTTCGTTAAATGCAAACCTCATAAAGCTGAGATCATAAATATGATAAAAAATTCTGGTACACATTTCTCAACGGTGGATATCTCAGTTCTTTGATTGCTTCATTGACGTGTTTATGATTTGACAGATTTTCTGAGAGCTCTGGACCTGATGTTCATCATAGTCCGTGTAATCAGCCACCTAGACAACGCTGGTGATATACCTGTGAAAAAAGAAAAAAATATTAACAAACCATGTTAGATTTGATCGGAAAAATGTGCCTCGTCCTGGTAGCGCAAACGACGTCATAGAAAATACGAGTAAAGGTTTGTTCCAACAAACTATCGAATTAGCTCCGAGCTGAACATGCGCAGTCAGAATTTCCGTTCTGAAAGAAGTTAGAACTAATTTCAGAAATAGCGGTTTTTCGTACTGATTCGGAATTGGTGCGAACTAACACGGGAGCTTACATAAACTTTGTTAATCCAATGTTTGAAATGCAATACTCTCAACTTCCGATACAATGGATGAAGGCCATATTAAAAACAAGTCATGTATTTCCATCTCTCTCTCTCTTTCTTAACAGAAAGCTCGGAACTAGTTTTGAACTATACTGACTTCAAACATTCGCAGAAATTAAATACAGTATATTCAGATAAGAGATAGACCGGACAATAACAAGACCACGTGATCATCGAACGCTGTAACATTCGGCAGGGACGTATTAAGAGTCACGCAGTACATATTTTAGATAGTAGATGCTGCTTTGCCTAACTTTGTAGTAAATTAGCACAATTCGATGTGTATACGATGGTGATGGATATAGGATCATGTGGGAGTGGGGTAAGAAATATAATATGATGTAAATATACATAAGGGTTTCAAAATTTTCGCTTCGATTTCCAGCTTCGGATGCCGCCTGATGTTTGGTGAAATACAGTCGAATATAATCTCAAAATGGCGTTTAAATTAGCCTAAATTAAAAATAATGTATATCTCTTAAAAATGCTTTTAGAATATTGATTAGTCTATTTTTGATTCTAGGTAAATATGTAACCAAATTAAAACGTTCAAAACGTAAAAAATGTGCATGTGAACTTGTCAGAAGTAGATTCTTGAATAGGTTTTGCCAAAATGGGTTCAAAAATGTCAATAATTAATTAAAAAATACAGTAGCTTTATAATTACTTATAACTTACCGAATTTGATGAACGACATCTTTTATTGGAAAGATGAGCTTGATGAGCTTTCATCATCGCTACTGCCTGAAGCACCAACGTCAATAATGAATGGCTCGACTTGTTCCTCTAAAATATTGTCCAGTTCCCACATTCTCTTTTCAACTTTGTCTTTCACGTGCTTAATACAGTTTTCCCATTTTTGCGCTGTTATTAATTCTAGTGCTTCTTTGAAAAGTCCTTTGAGGTCACAAAATTTAAAAGTTGTATTGTGCTTAGCTATATAATTTTTAACCTCTGCCCATATGAGCTCAATGGGATTGAGCTCGCAATGGTATGGAGGTAAACGGAGCACAGTTTTATTTTGACTTGCTGCCATTTCGTCAATGGCGTATTTTTGATATTCCGCCTTGTGATCCTTGACAATTCTTAATAATTGTACTTTCAGCATTGCTTCTTCAAAGTTGATATTTTTCGAGCGGAGCCAATTTTGAACATCAACTTTCCTTGAAGCCGTTGTTGGGACCTTCTCCATTCTTCGAGAATGATAAGGCGCATTATCCAACACAATTACTGCGTTTTCCTCTAAGTTCGGTAAAATTTTTGAAAACCACTGTTCAAACGATTCGCCATTCATTTCCTCGTGGTAATCTCCAGTTTTCTTAGACTCAAAGCACCACAGACCGTCAACAACAAATCCATCCTCACTGCCAATATGGCAGATAATGAGCCTTTTCCCTTTACCTGGAAATCGAAGTACTAACTGGTGTAGATTTATTTCAATAAGCGAACCTTTTTCAAATGTTTTCATCACATTCAGCGAAAAAATTGAGACATGAGTATCAGATTGCTATAATTGGGATTATTTAGTCATATTGAAAGAAAGAATATTGAACGTCGTATGATTACTCAGCGCTTCACAATTTAATTTAAAGTTATAAACCTTTAAAAAATGAATGATCAGGAACCTGAAATACGCGCAAATATTAATATTAACAAATTATAACTTTATAAAGCTTAAAGTATGAATTAAAATGATTAGAAATATTAGGAACGGTACACAATATAAAACTTAGTAACTTTTTTTAAGTTTATAATATTCGACATATTTTAAGATTATATTAAAAAATTATTGAAATATCGAAAACACATAAAAACATGGCTTAAAAAAGTTCTAACAAATGAAAATGACAATAAAACATCCACGCATTTTATCGAAAGTTATAAAAGTTTTGTTACTTGTAATATGTTTTATCTGCCCCCTGGAATTAATGTTTAGAACCTTGTTCCCAAGGTTTGAAAAACATCCGATTGTTGTCTATTACTCGTATTTACCTGCTGGATTTTTTAATCCGGTGGACAGTCCATCTAGAAAGGCCCTCCTGGATGAAGTTACAGAATCATCAACCCATACTTTACTTGTAGTGTGTCCTGCGTTTACCCACGTTTCATCAAGGTAATAAATCTTCCTGTTTTGATTTCTATATTTCCCAATTTTTGTTAAATAATCCCTCCTCCATAGCACAATTTCTTCTCTATCCAGTAGTAAACTATTACGACCCCGTTTTTTCCATTTGAAATTTAAATGCTTCAGTAACGCATGGAAAGTTGATCGTTTGAAATTTGGCAACGTTGTATCTCCATTTACCTCCTGCAGTACTTTATCTATAGTAGGTATTTCATTCCTAAAGAAGAATTCATGCACTTTCCTCCTAATCGCATGCTTATCAGCTTCATCCAATGATTTAACAATACTTTTGCGATGTTTACTGGTCATTGGCTCAGAAAAGGTGTGATTTTTTTTATTGTCTTAACACATTAAACACTGATGCGCGACACACCCCAACTTTGTGAGAAACCTTCACAACAATTTCTTTGATGGTTGATGCCTCGTTCTCCTCGCGCTCGATCTTATAATATTCAAAATGACCTCTTTCATTTCTGCACTCAGGTGTCTTTTTTTAGAGCGTTTCCTAGGTGGACTACAGGAGTTTACAACTTCATCGGCAGTATCTGTACTACTGGGCATTTTGCGCAAGCAGTTGATAACAATAACAATCAATAACAAGGTATAACAATAACAACGACAAACTCAACAACTTAATAAGATAACAAACGAAACGCAAAAACGATCAAAAAAATATCAAATTGCAATGATGCACACGACATACGTAAACGTCTGAACCTGAATGTGACTCTGCCTTGATACGACTGCTCTGCCGCTCGGCATAGGCATTTAATTGCGAATTGACCAATGAGGGCTCCTGTTTTACGTCGAGAGGCGGCGTTAGCGTGAAAATCACCCGAACCTTTTGTTTACATCCGGTCTATCTCTTATCTGAATATACTGTAGGAGTTGTTTTGAACCAGTTCGGGTTGCCTGCTCGAACAAACCTAAGAATGAGAATACCGACTCTTACGACCATTGTAAAATTTGATACGAAATTCCTATTTTCGAAGCAAGTTCTACAAATTAAAACGGCGTAGTTTTTTAATATACTGTGTGACAGTAAAAGGTAAACGCTTTGGTATGTTTATAGGATTTTAATGATTTTTGGCATATATGTTCAGTGTCCCTTACTAAAATCATTAAATTCTCAGCTTCATTCGACAAAAATGCTTCTCAAACGAAATTTAACTTTTAACTGATACCGAAAATGTACGAAAACTGAATGCTTCAACAATACACGCAGCCATCACAAAAACTTTCTTAGAGATTTTTAAGCTGATCTAGATATACAGGGTGGCCGCAAAGTTGGGGTTTTCCTTTACACGACGTGTAGATCTGAAAACATAAGCAATTTTTCTTAGTTCCATATACACGAATGTCTTAAGGGAACCGAGAAAGGGCTCTGCAACATCAAACATATCTGAATACCGTCCTGTAGCCGCGACATCCCCGACTGGTACTAGGACACTAGCGCTACCCGACGACAGAACTGGGTCGGGGTCAGTGTGTCAGGTCAGTATGCAACCTTCAACCGACGGTTACGGTCACGCGTGTAGAGGTAATCGCGTAGACGAGAATCCTCAACGTGTACAAGCCCTTCAACCTGACGATTTTCCAGCAAGAGTGCGGTTTTGTGAGCGGTTGTTGCATCAACATGACAATAATCCGGACTTTTTGAAGTGCATATTTGTGAGAGACGAATCTACGTTCACGCGTAATGGGGTGAATAACTTTCGCAACACTCATGTTTGGTCAGTAGAAAATCCGCACGCTGTCCGTCGGGCACATTTTCAACAAACATTTTCGGTGAATGTTTGGGCTGGCATGGTGAACGGTATGCTCATTGGACCATTTATTCTCCCAAATCGATTGGACGGGATGCAATATCTAGACTTTTTACGCAACATTTTGCCTTCCTTGTTTGCCTGCGTCCGCTCGGTAGCGCATCAGCTGATTGCATTTTCTGTTGGAGCGGTATGATTTCGGGCAGAGACGTACTTAGCCCTTCTCGTCAACTGGAGAGTGAGTACTTTTCCTTTATTTTTTTTACTTGGTCGCCCTCGTTTCACTACACATCACCTTTGTTATTTCAAGGGTAGTTGTTTCTGAAAAGGAAAACCCCAACTTTGCGGGCACCCTGTATAGATGAACTTTAAGATACCGATGACGTACCATCGATGAAGTTGACAAATCCTACAAGCAAAGTATGTGGGTAGTATCCGGGGTCTTCTCCCTGACTCCTATAGTCTTCATGGCTTCTGCGACGAACTTTAGAGGAGTGGGGGCCATCCAAGTTGAGGAGCGGATCTTGGACATGTCGTCACCACATAGCCAGGAAGTAGGCATTGAACTGTTATTCCATATCTGAAAAACAATGAATAAGATGCAGAACAGAAAAAAAGATACAGTCCCTGAGATGGGAATCTATGTTCCACAAATAACTGATGGCAACATAATAACCAGTTTGGACCTCACATGCTGGTGCCCATAGAAAAAAATCATTCATTTAAATCACCATGGACAAATCAATCTCAGAGTCGCGGCTCCGCGTCCGCTCTGTTCTTCGAATTTTGACTGATTCGTCTTCAATCGTCGCTTTTTATACAGAGTGTTTCAGTTTATTGTTGCATAACTTTAAAGATTCGATAGAACTTTTAAAATTAATTAAAATTATAAAAAGTCTATATAAACATGCGTCGAAAAATGCGTGGCTTCCGAAATACATGGTGTTTAAATTTACTTTCTAAAATGCAAAAAAACGTTTCAGGTTTCAACAACAGACAACAAAACTAACTGTCAACTAATTGACGTTTAACCTTATTCTGCTTTCATTTCAAAAAATCTGCAGGCACAGCCTACTTCTAAAAATTATCGAGATACTGACTGACTTTTTAACGTTATTTTATCATAAACAATTAAAAATGCATCGAACCTTAAACATCGAAATATCTCAAAAACGGCTAACTATATCTAAAATTCACAAGAGAGCTTTTTATGTTGAAAAGTGCGAAGAACAATTTTTTTTATTCAAAAAGCAAAAAATTGCACTACGAAAAAATTTTCGGTCATTTTAATACACTTCAGGTACAGTAGAGAGCGCCCTCTAGCGGCTACAGTAAAACTATGCCAATGGTTCGTTTTTGTCGTACCAAAAAACCCTTGTATACCAATTTTCACTGTTATACATTAAATATTGTTCGAAATATTTAAAAAAAACTATTTTAGAAAGTAAATTTAAACACCCTGTATTTCGGAAGCCACGCATTTTTCGACCCATGTTTATATAGACTTTATGCATTAATTTTAAAAGTTCTATCGAATCTTAACAATAAACTGAAACACCCTGTATGTGTCAAGAGTAATCGAGGTTCGTTCCCGACGTTCTAGACTTCGTAGTTCCGATGGTGGCCGACAGATGGCGCGCTCACAGCGTCAGAATAGGAATTTGTGACATTGTTTTTGTGAACGGATTTGAGAAATCGACACATGGAACTTGTTGTGTTTCAGGTACTTGATCACGAGTACCTGAACGTTTCTGTCCATTGAATAGTACTTACCTAGCATATTCCGTAGCCAAATCCTCCGAGAACTTGACGACATAGGACTTGGTAGCAGCAGACGGTCAACATGGGGCTTGGAATCTGGGCAGCTGTCGAAGAGATGTTTACTACAACGCCCTTACGTCTCTCAACCATTCCCGGCATGACGATTTTGCACATGTTGGTGACTGAGTAGATGTTGCAGGCTATCAGATCGTCGTATAGATGGTCTAAAATTCAAGAATAGTACATACATACCCAGTTTCAGAAGTTTTCGTAACAGTCAGAATGAAAAAACAGATTTTAATACATCATACGTTTACAGATTTCTGTGTACGTTGATTTGATTTACAGTGAGTCCCTTCAAGATACTGCTCATACTTCGCGAGTATATTCAGATCGTTTTTTTTTTGGACGTCTTCATCCCGCACCGCATAGGCTTGCTTATCTCGTACAAATGCCATCGAGGTGTACACAGTACGCAGCATGGGATGTTGAGGATTGAAGAATACACCTTGTGTATAATTCTGCCTCGGGTACAAATGTGGTGGTCCTTACCGTTATCCTTGTTTTCCAAAAAGTACTCTGGATGCGAATAGCTCATTCCCACGTTGTTGATCAGCACTCCAATTTCCAATCCGGTCAGTTGCTTATCGATGTCATGGTAAATGGAACGAGTGTCGGTGAAATCCACGGCGATTGTTTTTGTCTCCACGCTGAACTTTTTCTCTGTAGACAAGAATGTTTTGTTCATTGCTAAAGTCTGTATTTTGAAGAGAAGACATTTTCGAGGTAAATCCATATAAGCAATTCCTGATGAACCAGGAAATATCCTAAAGGTTATGCAGGCGTGAGGTAATAAAATCAGAACAAAATGTGTTCTAGTATGAAAGATACAAGGTATTTTAAAAACAGTGAAGGATTTACCTAAATCTTGGGCTACATTGTCCAGCTTGGATTTAGTTCTGCTGATAAGAACAATGTTCAGTCCTTTCTTGGCCAAATGTTCAGCGTATGCTTTCCCGATGCCATCTGAAGCCCCAGTAATCACTGCAATGAAAATACGCAATCAGTTTTGACTGGTACCATTAAGCTAAATTTGAGTATGTAACTAATATACAGGGTGGCGCAATATTTGAGGAGTAATTTGAAGGCACTCATTCACAATTCTTCGTCGCAGGTCTTCTGATGATGTTGGCTGAGTAGCATAGATTTTGCTTTTTAAATGACCCCACATAAAGAAATCCAAAGGTGATAAATCTGGCGATCTTGGGGGCTATTCAATGGCACCTCTTCTACCAATCCATCGATCTGGCAACGTCTGATCTAAATATTGTCGAACACGTAATGCGTGATGTGGTGGGGCACCATCCTGTTGGAACATTTGCTGCCAAATGTATTGATCTCCACTAATGATGATGTATTAGTTTTATTTAAGCTTTAAATCAATAAATCTTCAAAACTACTGAACTGAAGCTCATGTATTTTACATCATTTTAAAGGGAATTGAAAGACCTTTAAAATAAGGTATCACTCGACCCCCCTTTCCATTTAAGATTTTAGGATTGGTGTCACCCCCGCCCAGGGGGTTTCACGTGTTAACGTGATTTTCTGACAAACTTTTGCCCCCTCGAAAACAAAATCGAATATACAGGGTGACTTCGAAGTTGAGTCATTTATTTTAACAGTGAGTAGATCTGATCAAAAGAAATGTTTTTTTCCTTTAACATTTTTGTGGTAAAATTAAAGTAACAAAGTAATAGCCCTTTAGAAGTTTGAGTACCGCCCTGTCTCAATAATAATATTATGTGCTCGTGTTTGGCAACAACGGATATAATCCGCCTTATCGGTTCATCGCATCGGAAACAAAAAAGCGCAAGAATTTGGAACGATTTTTACAATTATTTTATTCAGTTGTATACAGTCAGTGTCAGTTGGTAACGCGTGAGTGAATAGTGGTGTCTGTTGCGTGGCTCAAACGAAATAAAAATGGCACATGTTTATGCGGATCGGTTTCCCAATCGAGTGCAACCAACCCCTCGTGCCTTTGTTAATGTAGTACAACGGGCTCGTGAATCAGGTGACTTAAGACCTCACAGGGGAGAGCATGCCGGTGCTCCAAGACCTCACGATCAAATACAGGTCCGCACTGAAATACTTGTCGGGAGGATACTTTATAAAACAAGGTAAATTTTTTTTTTATTTTTTTTATTTTTACACACATACTTTGGTTTATCTTCGTTCTACAATCATTATTTGAAAATTAATGACTCAACTTCAAAGTCACCCTGTATATTGATAAGTCGAAATATTGCGAAGTGCATTTAATTTTGCGTAAAATTGCAAATCACAAACTAAGAAATAACAAAGTAAAATAATCATAGAACCTGTTTTACCTCAGTTTCACCATATTAATATTCAAAACTTAGAGCAATTTATTTGCTTCTAAATACATCGGTTCAAGACGATAAATACGTGTTATCTCAAGGTTATGAGAACATAAGTAAATAACTTAGATAAGGTTGACTTGGTAATAATAAGAAAACTCTTATTAAAGCTTCTAAATTGTTTTTATGATACTAACAGTATAGAAAATGCTCTTTTTAGATGAATAAAAACACCCTGTATCTGTATACTTCTTCAATAAGTGACCTGATCCATGGTACCTCTGCGACAACAACGAACATTACCACTGTTCCCAGACGCTTTGTGGTTGAAGTGTCAGTCAAAATGACGTCAATTTTGCAATTTTTAGATAATCAAAAAACACGCTTTTATAGCTAACCTATAGTGGATGGTCGAACAGTCTATCGTAATTAACGATTTCGTCAACTTAGTGAGTTTGATAGGGGCCGTATAGTGGGACTTCGGGAAGCTGGACTTTCTTTTCGGGCAATTGCAGTTAGAGTGCAAAGAAGTGTAGACACTGCGGTTAGGTGTTGTCAGGCATGGATTCGAGAAGGCCGTACGCAAAGAGCAAGGGGCACTGGACGCCGCCGTAGAACAACAGACCGTGAAGATCGCCGCCTAAGATTATTGGCTTAAGGGACCGTTTCTCCACTACCAGGTCCATGCACATGAATGGTTTGCAGAACACGGAAGACCTATTGGCATGCGAAGTGTTTACCGACTAATGAGAAGTTTTGGCTTGTTTTCATACCGGCCACACTGGGTCCTCCCTTTAACTCGAGAACACCAACGTAATCGCTTGAGTGGTGCAGACACGGTCACTCTGGATCAGGAATGGAACAGTATTGTCTTTAGTGACAAGTCTCGATTTTGTTTAGGCATACACGATGGTGTGCCAGGGTTAGAAGGCGACGTGGTGAAAGGAGGAATCCACAGTTTTTTGTTCAAAGACATGTTCATCACACTGTTGGAGTTATGGTTTGGGGTGCTATAGCTGATTTCCAGGTCACCTTTAATCTTCATCAGAGTAACATGAACGCGCAGCGTTATATCCATGAAGTTCTACAACCCCATCTTTATCCTATCTTGACACCCTGGCAGATCCAACTTTCCAACAAGATAATGCCCGACCACATGTTGCAAGAGTCACAATAGACTTCTTTCAACATAATGATGTCACATTGTTACCATGGTCACCAAGACCTCCCGACTTATCCCCAATTGAGCACGTGTGGGATATGATGGGTAGGAGATTGCTCAATTTGCAACGTCCTCCTCAGACTCTAGAAGCACTTCGAGGGGAGTTTGGTTGCCTGGAATGAGATACCACAGGAGGACATTGACCACCTGATCAGAAGCATGCCTAGGCGCGTTGGAGAATGCGTAGCACATCAGGGTTCATCCACACATTATTAAAGGTCAAAGGGCTTTAAAGCAGTGGAATCGTTTTGAAATTTTTATCATTTACTTATTATGCTTCATTAAGTACTTATACAAAATTTTATTAAAATAAAACCATTTAAACTGGGTGTTTGGATTTATATGTTACTTAGTATATTTTTTAGTTTCCCGTAGCTGGCGACATATGCAGAAATCATACTACAATCCTACATTTCTAAATCATCATCCAGGGATCATTCTTTCTGTTTAAATTAAAGTCATTACCTAAGTCAGATAGAGAGAGAGAGAGATGAATGTTTCAGGGTGCGTTCATTAGTAGCGCTTGGTGTTTGAGTTTGATGGTTCTGTGATTTATAGGCTTTTATACTGTGCGGATTTTATTCAGCTTGTTGCAAAGGAAAAAGGGCAGGTTCTGAAACGTGTCATACACATGAAAAAATCACTTCAAAATTACGAGCCACGCACCATTGCTAGTTCCAGCACTGACTGGAAACACATTCCAATCTGTGTCTCTCTAAATAAACCCGCTGAGTCTGTGTCGATAGCTCGAGTTATACGAGGGATGTGTTTTAAGTTTTGCATATGGAAATAAAACAACACTGTAGCGAGAACACTGCACGTATCGTTGTGAAACTTTGAATTTAAGTTTACTAAAGAGTAGGGTTAAGATTCAGTATTGACGTTCGATCCGCGCGGCCTACTATGTTCCTATATGCAAAACATAAAAGACATCCCTCGTATTGGTGCTAGATCATGCACGTAGAGTCGTAGATAAATACTAGCCAGAGTGAGTCTTTATTAACTTTCACTACGTACTAAATATCAGTGAAATATCTGAAGCGGTTCTGAAAATATTAGTTAATTTCCACTTTTTTCCTAAAACTTCAACACCCCGAGTTTTTGTAAGGAAGCATTTTTCGACCATAGTTTATAAAACAAAGTAACATTAATTTTTCATGTAGATTCACGCCCTTAAATATTCGCATATCACTAAGGAACACCCTGTATAGTAGGTTAGTTGAGTATAATTAACCAACCCGTTCCTGTCTCGCTCCACGGAAAATGGAAATATGAGTTAATCAAAACGACTACGTAATATATCATTAATAAATCCCGTCAGACTGCTGTACAATATGAAAAACTACACTCGATGTATGTTACATTTAACCGTATCAAAACGGGTAGATAAAAAATTAGATAAGGGCATTTGTGTCAGAGGTGGAGACATTTCAGGCAGTCAGTAGCATGTAAAGGCGCAATAAATAAAAAGTTGGGACACTAATGTTTCAGACGGAAACTTCCATGTTCGTTAAGTTTACGATATCATATATTACGGCGGTCGGGACAAGTACAAATAAGTAGCGGCAGTCGTTGAGACTTGGCCGAAAAGTACCCTATATATCCTTGGTATTAGGGATGCGGTTAAGTTACGTATGTGAATTGTTTATAACTGCTACGGTTTTACAGGGTAGTACAAAGATTTAGTATATGTCAGATAAAACGATATGAAAAAACTTGCTTACTCAGGCTCCAGATGGATTTCGGTCTCTCTGGGGACTGTTGGGGCAAGATGATACATACGCTGCCGCTCAAATATTTTGGGACAGAAACTTTTTTTAAGAGAACTTAAAATGAATAAGGCTTATATGGCATTGATTGATTATTACCATCTACAGGGTATCCCAGAAGTCGACGTCAAGCCGAAACCGGGTGATAGGCAAAGTCATAACAGCTACCAGAAAAATATTTAAAAAACTTTTATGTATGTTTTGAAAATTATAGGTCTTTGAAAAAAATATAGAAATTTCACACCCTACGGCAGTCTGTCAACTCCTGTTACTACAAATATTAACTTTTTTTGGATTCTTTTTTTACAATGTAATGATGAATAATGCATCTTCAAACTGGTGTCTCAACCTTACTGCCAACTTTTCTCGTTCAGGAAAAATTGCCACTTATTTCCCAACCAAGTATTCCAAAGTAAAACTTTGCTCAACTTTAACTGGCTGTACTGGAAAAAAATGTACAACGAGAGTTTGGCAAGTAACCTTAAAAGTTGGCGCATTTAATAAGGATTCCAAAATGGTATAACACTTAGAAGATTACCTTAACTTATGCACAATTTTTATTTGAAGAAAAAACTGAAAATTTTTCAAAATTTCCTAATTAAACAGCGATTATGAAAACGCACAAGGACCCTTAAGGATAACTGTTTGCACAACAGTGGGCGTCAAAATGCTGCTGATGATGATTTACCTTTACAGCAAATGCTCAAACTGTTTTCCTTCAGCCGCAATACACGCTCGACATCTTAAAAAAGATCGGGTTATTAAACGAGCGAATCCACGGTTATTAACAAACTCAGCTGCTTCCAATAGTCTTTACCGTAGCTCAGCTACATTTTGAATCGGCTTGAAATATACTTTTTCTTTTACAGTTCCCCAGTAAAAAAAATCTAACGGATTCAAATCTGGTGACCGGGCTGGCCACGGTATTGTACCAGACCGCCCTATCCATCTGCCTGGAAAGTTTTGATCGAGATACTCTCTCACTGAGAGTGCATAGTGCGCTGGGCAGCCATCATGCTGAAACCACATGTCCATGTAAATACTCAGTGGTACGTCCTCCAATAAATTTTCTAAATGATTTTGCAAAAACCTAAATAAACCTCAGCAGTCAAAGTCACTGGGAACTCAAACGGACCGATTATTTTACCATTTAAAATTCCTGTCCAATGGTTTATCTTGAAGCGATATTGAGATTTATCTTCTCTCATCAAATGTGGGTTTGCTACGTGCCACTCGTGTAAGTTATGCAGGTTCATGTACCCATCTTTCTTAAATGTGGTCTCATCTGACCATAAAATTTTTTCAAAGAACCGTGGATCTTCCCTATGTCTTTCTAGCATTGTGCGACAAAAAGCAGCTCGGGGCTCATAATCCCGGGGCAGAAGAGCTTGAACACGCTGTATGTGGTATGGATGAAGCACATCACTTACTTGCTATTGCACACTTTGATACCGATCAGTACTCCTTCGTTTACTGCGCATCTTTACATGTTCGTGCTTGTTGATTTCGTACTGTTACTAATTTTGGATTCGTGAACTGGACTGTTGATCGCTTGTTTGATGGTAGGGCATATAGGGGGTCTCTAACCACCCATTTTACTAGCTACGTCTCTGTCGAGAAGTATCGTAATCGCAAAAAATTTGAGAATGAGATATTGTGTTTTGGATGTTATACGACTTGTACATCACAAAAAACTCACTCATTTTCATCGGTCTGCCTGTCGGTCCGCTAATCCTTGACTCGTCTATAACTTAACAAGTACCGGTCGGATTTTGATGGAACTTTCACACAAGATTACAACCACATCAAGGACGGAACAGTTTTGTATTTTTTTTGAATCGGTCCAGCAGCAAAGAAGAAAGGATAGAAACTAAAAGAGCTAAATATCGCTCAAACTATGTTTTTGGAGATCTCAGAGAATCCTGATCATTTTCAAATAAATGTTTGCAGGGGCTAAACGTTAAACGTTGGGCGTTGTAGATGGAGTGTGCCATTTTTTTGGTGCTAACAATTTATACGTATCCAACCCTAAGCACCTATTAGACATATTTCCCGTACAGTTACCTTTAAAACTTTTTACATTTTCTATATTCGCGTGCTGGACAGCTCAACAAACGTACGTCAGCCTGCTTCGAA